TTTCTGAAATTCATTTTTGATTCTTTCATAGCTATTGTCCTGATAAATGATGGAGGATGCAAGTAACAACAGTTTATTGGTAAATGAAATGTAGGGCAAAGTCCAAACAGTCTGATGCAGGAATGGTCGCTCTGAGTGACGCAGGGACGTCGACAGGCAACCCGATCGTTGATATCAGAAGTGAAGAGAGAATCCACGAGAAATCCAGCATGAAGCAATAAACTCTAGATGAGCAGTAATCCCAGGGCAGAACACAGAACAACAGGAACCAGAATCCAACATAGGCAAGGTGAACAGGAAACAGGACACCAGGAACACTCACAACGATCTGACAACACACCAACCAGTGAACATATATAGGCACGGCTGATAGACAGCAGCTTGCGCAGATAATTAAGATGATTGGCAATCACCCTCACACACACACACACACACACTGACATACGGGCAGAAAGAGAGGCAGTAAATTCATGAACCGTGACAGCTATACAACATACTTGCTCCTGTAATAGTGAACTGTATGTTATGATTGTTCAGACCTTTGCTGGGAGGGAAATTTGAAGATTTGACCTTTTGTATGTGAACAGCTATGGCCTGGAATACGTTATGTTCCCTTCACCTGTCATCTAACTGACTCAGAAATATATACAGATAAATCTGTGAATGAAATGTGATACAGATGAGATCTTAGACAAGCCATCATCGCTGTACACATGGCTACATTAACCATCAGATTTGAGCATGTCTGCGTGATATATAGAGGTGATGTAGAGTTATCTGTGAACTCTGACCCTCATTCAGCTCCATTTGCGTCTCATGCACATTGAGAGAAAGAGACAAACACTCAGACTCCTGTCAGCGTGGAGTCACTGGCAATTTCAACCAGTTTATCTCGTGGTTTCAAAAGGGACAGCTGGAGGTAGAAATTGTTCCTGCTTAACCGTTTCTCCTTTCTTCCCTCCATCCAAATCTTTTCTTCTCTGTACTGTTCTCTCCTTCTCCTTTCAATGTGCTGTAATCTCATACAATGAGATTACAATGAATACCTAGTGAGATGGTGAATGGCTTTCTCTCTCTCTTCTAAAAAACAGTTTGACCGGGCACACTGGGCCGCCACACTTCATTAACTACCATGCTTTGCCTTTGTGTGTGTGTGTGTGATGGCAAAAACAGACAGGATCAGAAAAAGCTTATTCCTATATCTTTGATCTTTCGCTGTCTTTCTCAGTCAGTGTTCCTCCGCACATCTGTTTTGTTAGAGAGAAGGTGCTTAAATGCAGAGCTTCATTATCAGAGGAGATGATTCAAGACAATAATGTCTTTCTCGCTGTTTCTGACTTGGAATTTTGTTTTGTTTTTGACAGCTGGCAGAAAGCAATGTTTTAGTAGTACTGTATTGTTCCAAATTTTTCTTAGAAATACATCTGAAAAAACGAGGTCGTCTTAAATTCAGGGTCTAGACTTTTACATGTCCATAATACACCCGCAACAATAGGTGGCGCCAAATACGCGTAAAATGAGTGTGCCAAGAAATATGGTGTGTCAGAGTGTAATGTTAGAAGATCCCAAGCGCAAAAAAGACCCAAACAGTCAAAGAAAAACCTACCATCTAAGAGCCGCGTGACTGTCATGTTTGCGAGCCTCACTGACGGGATAATCTTTGAAATGTGCTGTACAAAAGACTCATAAAAGGGAGTGGTATGTAAATATATATTCATCTTTTTGACAAGCAATGGAAGTTTTGTTCCTGAATGAATTAGTGTGTTTGAACTAAACAGTTAACTGAATGATTCAATGACTTACTCATAGGCAGTCACTTGTTTAGTTCCTGAATGAATCAGTGTGTTTAAATGAGTCTGTTGTTGTGAATGAATCATGTTTCAGAATGATTCCCCAAATAAATGATTCACTGACTCACTCATAAAGACATTCCCTTGTTGCCACCTACTAGCGTAACTATTTAACATGCAAATAAGTCTCAAAACCCCCCAGCACTAATGCTCAGACTCACAGTCCTTCTGGAACAGGGCATGTGAGCAGAGCGGGGGCGGTAATATTTTCTCCAGTGGATAGCGCCTTTCTGAGGGCCGCTCGCTTAACCCTGAATGCCCTTTGTCATATGATGGTTCGAGAACCTGTGAAATAAGTAATGGGTCTAAGGTTATGGACTGGAGCTCAAATGTTATTTAAATGAAGTTGCAAACCTTATACCCGTGTGGAGAAACTGAGTTAGCAAAGATTCGTTTTGTGATATACCCCCAGTGAAGTTCTTTTCCGTTCATTGCTTAGAGGTAAAAAGAAGTTTGAAATACCTTCGCAGCAGTATACAGTAGCTACTGTTAGTAACAGCTCATGCTGCTGACAGAGAAATTTGAGCTGCGCTTTCCTCTCAATAACAAAATAAACTACAGAAATGACAGCAGAAAAGAAAGTAGTGCAATTGGGCACAATCCAGTCACGTCACGTTTATTTATACCACTTTATACAATATATTGCTTTAAAGCCACAAATATTATAACCATTATCTATAGGCCTATTGTAATTGAGCACATAGAGCTAAATATAGGCTACTCTATTCTGGAACAAACACAGACATTTGCGGAGTGATGCAAACAATGTAAAGTCCCAGTGCTGGTGGACTATGTGTATTAGTACTAAAATTCACTCATATTAGCCAATCAAATCTGAAGACCAGAACAAACTGGTGATGTTTTGAATTGTGATTGAAATGAATTGAAATGTTTTTAAAGTACAACTCTGTTGGCCTCAGAATATCAAGGAAAAATATTTTTCTTATGACCCTTATTAAAGTCAAACAATGCTGGAAGATATTAATTTCAGATTTCAGAGTCAAGGACTTCTCATCCTCAGTCTCAGCACATCATCCTGATACTTTGAGCAAGAGGGATATTTAGTCCAATGAGGACAGGTCAGAGTGTGCAGGTGAGGACACAGTGGCCTATAGAGTATTTTTCAAACAGACTGCATTTCTGTATGTGAGGCAGGCAGAAGGGAGAACGTGTGGGATGAATTGAAAGATGCTGAAGAGCTTAGAGATCCCAATAGTTGAAAGAGATGTCAGGTGGCTGAAGGTTACAGCAAAGAAAGGAAATGGAGCGCAGAGTTTTTAAGTGCCCTCAGAAAGAGTGAGTGAAAACGATGTTTATGGGAGCATCTGAGATAAGTGAGGGCATAAATTTGCTTCCAGGCAGATGGTGTCATGCAGGGAGATTTTTTTGGAGACTGCGTGTTCATGCCATGTTACGCCAAAAATAGTGAGATACGACATCTCAGCTGTTTGTTCATCACTAAAGCTGTGCCTCAAGACGTCTGTATAGTTCAGGGCAGATCGACTGTGTGTGTCTGACTCTGACTGTCAGTGCCCGCTTGTTTTGTTTTATTGCAGTCATTATTATGGTTTTAATGGTCAACTGTGACCGGTGCCCACATGCTGACAAATGCCCACGAGCAACATGGCCCATCTGGCTAAATTTTTGTAAATCAGGGACATATCCTGGAGTTATATTGATCTGTGAAGGAGGTATAATACCTGGAGAGATCTCAACAACTGGTGTTCAGCTAGCAAAGCACCCCCTGAAAAGTCATGATCTGCCAACAGTGTGCTTGGAAACCATGGAGGTTTTTGAGCAAATGACCCAAGGCATGAAAGCCATGTGACTGATCGCTCTGGACTGGAGTCACAGGAATAGACCCTATTCAGAGCAGCGCCATGGCAGGTATGAAAAGCTGTATAAAGCTCCTAGATCACTTGTGATTTTCCACAGCTCATAATGTCGGCAGTTTGTCTCAGCAGATATTTTGCTGTGTTTTGTCTGCAGAACAATCCAAAAATGCATTAAATAACAGTACAACCCTCTGAAGAGACGGATATCTATCCCTCACAGCCTCGGTTTCATTCCTGATAAAACTCAAAGATGGTGCTGCTGTGAATAAGGTCCATGATGATGTCTTGACAATGCTGATTGAATGAAATATTTGTTTTAATAATGAAAACTATAAAATACTTGGTTATAATTTCCATTATAATTTAAATGTAATATAATAAATAAATATATTTTAATTAAAAAAATATTACTTTGACTCCTTCCCCGTGTTTTCACTGTTATACAGTAGGGGGCGCTATGCCACATCTTCTGAAAGAGCATTGAATGGCCTGATCAAAACACAGGTGAAGAAGAAGCATATGTAAGCAGCAGATGCATTATGTAAAATAACGCGATCATCAACGTTAAACCACATATAAATCAAAACTGCTTAACGCTATTGAATGAAATGTCGACCCAGGACTGTGAAGCTTTGGGGGTGTTAATAGACTCGATCTTTTTCATCTGTGTTTTGATGATCGTTCTGAATCCGATATGGATTTAAAAGCTGAGGGTCTGTTCTTTCTTTTTATATTGCATATTCAGATATTCATACACAAAATATTTTGGGGTCCATGATCATTTTGTGAAAATGATCAAAAAATGCTTGTGATGGCTGGCAACTTAAAAAAAAAATGCTGGTGGGGAAAGAGTTAATATATATATATTTTAATTAATTGTTAATTATTAAATATTTTTTATATTTGACAAATTAAATATATATAACTACTTTTAGATGGTTGTCAATGGAGAAAGTTGCCTTTTAGACCCCCACGGTGTAGTTAAAGCAGCAGCAGTGATCCAGTATCATTGATATTCTATTACAGTTTTTGTACTATAGTATTTTATTTCTGTTTTATTTTTTTTTTAAATGTATTACTGTCTAAAGTTTTAGTTTATTTAGGTTTTACTTCAGTACCTCAACTTAAACCTAAACTAAAATGAGACATGTTGCATTGGGCAACTAGCTGAAAAAAAATATATATATATTATTTTATTTAAACTTATTTGATTAAATGTTGTCATGATTTTAGTTTTAGTGAACAGTAATAACCCTGTGATCTTGACCTCCTCTCTGACCTTTAACCTCTGGTGGTTGTTTTCACCTGTGTCTAGGTGTGTGGTTGAAGGCCACGCGGGGCTGTCGCATGAGAGAGAAGCGGGCGGACTTCGCAGCCGGCTGTCTCGGTGGACGGGTCATCGCTGCGGGCGGACTCGGTAAGTAACTGCCAATATTGAATAGATTATGCAAATAGGATCAACTGAGCTTAGAAAACCGGGAAAGAAATCAACAAAACGCAGTGCAGGGACTGTCATTTTTCAGAACAACCTGCGGCAGAAACGGCCTCTTAATAAAATGCCATATCAAGCAAATGGATTCATTATGTCAGGTCTTCATGTGCAGCCATGAGTAAGTACTGTGCACTAATGTCACCTAGCAACAAGAATCTACCTCACAGTACATCGACAACAATTACAGGCCACATCTGAACAACTTTACGAACTCTGCGACCTTCTCTTAGGAAGCAATCTGCGTAATTTGCATTGATTTGTTTTTAGCGTGTAGTTCGATCAACATTCCCTTTTCCGTTTGTTTCATTCATAAGCAGAACTTAGTTTTAATTGGAAAGTCAAAGAATCACACTTGGCTTCATTGTGAATCAATGAAAATGTGAAATCGCTCAATGACAGCCTGTTCCCTAGACTGGCATGTCTTTCAATGAAATGATTTGTTCATTTGGCTCTTTACGCTCCAGTGAAGATTCTCTGAATATCAGTCTCAAATACTGCCTTATTTCTTTCCAGTCTGTTTGTCTGTGGCTACATTACTAGAGGGAGAAAGAGAGATTTCTTCAATAAATGTCAGCTCAAAGAGTGGGCGAGACATTTCTGCATCTTCCCAAAAAATGATATTTAGGGCAGAGCATTGCAGATTATACGTGCCACATTTTTATTTAATCTTTTTCTATGTCTAGAAATAGACGGAATTTCAGGCATCACAGGAGCCGATGGAGGATTGTGTGCGTGTGTATTAGAATGTGAGAACATTCACATTTCACTACTTCCTTTTTCACCTGCTCGATTTATCCTCTTTTAGTTGTTGTTACCTCTTTCTACCCCGTCCCCCCTTCATGTCTTCATGTCATGTTGCAGGTGTGTCTTTTCCTCCCTTGTTTTTAGTCACTGCTGTTGCTGTTCGTTTTCTTATCTGGTGCTGTTTCTGAGCTATTTTTGTGTCTCTTTCTGTGGCGGTTTAGTCTTTTCATCTTCTTTTTCTTCTGTTCTTCTTTTAAACTGCCGTTGTTGGACACTCAGCCTATACAGAGTCAGACTTATGCGCGCACACACACACACACACACACACACACACACAAATATAATGATATAACTGCAAGAGATGCTTCATTCCCTGTAGCTCCTCATGTCTTTCCGGAATTAATGGCTGCCATTAGGTCCATATTGGAGATGATGCTTGGGAAATTGCTCTTCAGATGATTTGCTCCTCAATCATCTATGGCCTCATTCAAATGTACTCTGTTATACCCATATATGATCATTAGTTTAGGCATTACATCAGTATCAGTGTAAAAAAATGATTGAATGAACATATTTCCAGGGTGAATGTATTAAGGTAATTAGAATAATTAGGATTTATTTACTCAATAGCTGTTTTGTTTGTCATATTTGGATGATTACGTGACATGTTGCCAAAAATGGTCAAAATCAGAATCAGAAATAATAAAATTCTGATTCTGTCCCTTTTGCCATTCGGGATGAATCATTTTGCACACTCTTTTCCTTCTAGTCCCATTCACTATGTATTGAATGATTGACAGTTTTATGCATTACATGCATGACTCAGGTTTGACCCAAATAGAGTAGCAATATGTAAAATTTGTTCAGCTGAAATCTCAAGAGGCGGCTTGTTGCCAAAGAATTTAACTACAATTGTTTTAATTTATCCCCTGAGAACACTAAAACCAGAACAGCAAAAAGAGTTAAATTACCCAAATTTAATTACCCAAACTTTAGTTTTGGTTTCAGTTTTCGACTAAATGAAAACATTAGTTTCAGTGCATTATTAGTTTACATATTGTCAGTTTGGATTTAGAAACCAAAATAGATTTGTGTACAGTTTGAACAAAGTCTATGAAATCTGATTTGCGTTATGTATTTCATTTTTAACATTTATTAATCTCTTTGATTCCTGCTGATGGTTCAGCTTAATTTGCTGTTAGTTGCTGCTGAAAATGTAGATTTAACATTTAAATTTTGTTTTATGATTTAGATCTACAGTATATTTAACAGTAATATTTAAGATTTTCATCTCTGTAAAGGTGGAAAGCATGGGGTGCTTCAGTGGTTGCCAGATTTTTTAAAGTCGTACCCCCTGAGGCATTCAACATCCTTCTGCGTACTCTTCCACTTGACTGCATTCATACCTTTTACATTAAGGGACAATATTTGCCCAGTTAAAATGATTTTCCAGTGCATTTTATACCTTTATAAATACCTTTATAAAATAAATAATGTTTTAAATAAAAATTGTTTAATAGAGAAATCTAAAAATGATGGTAAAAACAAATTGATACTTTTAAATATTAAACTAAAACCTCCTGTAGGTAGCGGTAAGTCTAATGAGTGAGCCATTGAGTCATTCTTTCGTTCAGTAATGAAGCAAGTGGCTTATGAATGGGTAATTGAATCATTGACTCTCCCGATTCGTTCAAAGCCGCAAGTTCTGCTGTGGCTTTTATTGGAACTATTATTTCATTCCAAAATAGAGCAAACAGTAAAGGATATGCACGTGGCACAAAACGCATCTAATATGGGAAAGAGCTTTGAGATTGACTGTACAAATAGATTTGACAAGAAATCTGAGGTATATTTATGGTATATTTGAGGTATACAGACTGCCGAAACCTACTGAAAGAATAATGGATCACTGCAATTTATAGAAACAACTGGACTCCTAGCAGCGAAACGTGGATTTGCATTTTCACGTTATCATTTTTTGTCATTATGTTGAATTTTGGGGTAAAATCATACCCTATATATTGTATTGACAACTCATCAATTAAATATTTACCATCTTATGTTCTGCATAATTGGATGTTTTTAAAATAAAAATTTACTAGAAACTATACAAGTTTTAGGGCTGGACGATATGAAGATATATATAACATTGATGTAAGTGATCACCCGGATTTAGACCTACCTATATTGTATATATATGAATCGTTCACAAGCAAATTTGCTTTATGTATTTCCCTGGCATCAAAATCATGCACATATAAATGTCAGGAAACTGCTGCATGTCAATATCCATGGATCACTGGATCTTTGGTAAGTTGTAAGGAACATTATCGACTGCAACCTTTATCCATTACCCTTTTGTTTGTTGAACTGTTGTATAAAATCTGTCACATTTGCAATAATGTGTGGATAATTAGGGAAAATTGCTTCCTTGCTCGTATAATACATTGTCGAGAACGGCAGTAATGTAGCAGTGTAATTTGGGAAAAAAAATTAGTCCTGATCCCATCACCGAACCAAAAGATACTGTACCTAAAGTCATAGGGATACGTTCACAACCTGATTTTTTTATGGCAGAACCACTGCCATAGATGGTGGTGAGAATTGTCTCGGAAGTGAAATCATTCAGCAAAGATAAATCCAACCTTTGCAAAAACAGCTTCTAAAAATCTGCCTTAACAAATATGTATTTGTGTGAACATAAGAGCGCCTTAGGATGCGTAGCAACATGCAGGAGCTTTCGACGCGAGTGCCAGAGCACAAGTCAACGTGACATTTTTGATTACCGCGAGCGGATTCATCCAAGTGTTTGTTCTACCAGGAAATTATGATTACAATAGTCACCGCACCAGCCCGTCCATATCTTCTGCACTTCAATTTGAGTAACCATGGAAACTTAGTGTCATGTACCTCATGATGATTTAGGTCTCCGCATCGAAGGCAAAAGAGTGAAAACACCCAGCCTAGTCTAACTGACCCTGGGGAAAAATGAGAACATGCTCGCTGTTCACTGCGACTGCAATGTGAGTGCCAGGATTTACCAAGGAAACTTTGTTTTTATTTATTTATTTATTTATTTTGCAACATCAGAGGAAAAGTTTCCTGAAGCATAAGCCACAGAATCTGTAGGAGTTACATAATTTGAAGAAATCTGCATGGCACCACCTGTTCAAACCTGTTTTAGTCCCAAAACCTACCAGGTGGCAAGTGCTTCATCTGCAAGAAACATCCGCAATGTGTGTGTGCTGTGAGGGAGAGTGCTGTGGATGCTGTATGCTAATGTGGAGAGGGTGTTGTGTTGATTGAATGGCTGGAGAATCTGTCTAATGTGCATTAAATTCTGTTATTGCAGCTCATATAGGCTGTTCACACTGAAAAATTCAATACTAAATGTGGAAACTCTCACTTTAGGCTTTGACATGTGACAGTTTTCTGTCCTGTATATTTCTTAAATCAGGAAGTGTGTGAGGGAAATATTGTGTTCATAATATTGTGTAAATAAGTGTCCCTCCCTTATTTTAAATAGCCAATAGTTTGCAGAACAGCCATGGATTATGCTTTGCTACTTGCTAGTTGATTTAAGGTGGTATTGGGGGAGGAGCATTCTCATTCTAGAGATCATCTGATTGGACAAAAACCTGTATAGTGCAGGATGAGTCATCAATAATTTTTGTGCATTTTCTCAAAAGAGAAAGGCTACATTTTTATGTGTATATCTGCTAAAAGTGAATTTTTGTTTGTATAATAAATTTAATATATTATAATGAAATTAAATAATTGGCTTTTATCATTGACATTTGACTAAAGGCCCCCCCCCCCCCCCCCCCCCCCCCCCCCCAAAAAAAACATTTAATACAAATACATATACTAAGAATTTCTAGAGGTCCCAATAATTGTAGCCAATATGCATTACAGAAAAACATTTATTTCATAATGAAAATTTTCCCCCACTTTCTTTTGTTGTACTTCAATGAAAGGTTAGAATTTTGTGATTTTTTTTTTTTTTTAATGAAAGATCAAAAGGATAAACAATGCAGATTTATTTTCACAGCCGCCTTTACTCATATTTACCAAGAGTGCCCAATCCCATATTAGTGGAGGACACTGTGTATAATATAGAAAAACATTTTTTCAAATATATATAATATAGAATATTTATTTAAAAAAATATTATCTGGAAA